GAAAATATAGAACAAAACAATGGCAGCTATCGTCATTTGAAATGTGAATTATTCTCTCTAACAGATGTGAAAATAAATTGGAAGGGAAACAGAATTGCTGGAAGACGTACCATGAACCAGGGCGAGGAACATAGGAGTTGTCCACAAAAGGAGGAGACAAAGAGGGATGGAGAACGTAAAAAATGAACAAATTTGTCGTTTCACTTTCTCCAAGGGATTTTTTGGGGGGGTCCCCATTCAAGAAGAAAATTATCCCGTCTTGCTAAGTTTGTATAAAACCACCAAATCAAATGAAACCCATCAGGTGAAACTATTCTCAGCTTGGAAAGGACCATGTAATAGCTCCCTGCTGTGTTAAAGGCAAGGAACCTACCAGAAAAAAAATTAAAAAGATGGAAATCCTAAGCTGAGCCAATAAACATGGAGGAATACACAAGGATTCATTTTGAAGAGCTAAGCATTCAGTTCCTTTTGTTTTTATGAAACTGATTTTTCCATGCTTTCCCAACTTTCTTTGATTTAAAGAGTCCTTATAAAAATATAAATTGATCAAAATTCTCAGCTGCTCCCAGGGTTGATCAGATTTACTTTAAAAATAATCAGGGAGAGGACATGAATTCTTTTTAATTCTGGAAAAGAGGCAGAGTAATTCACCAATTTATGTTCTGAAATCTACTTTGCCTATGTTCCTCAGTAAGTCTATTCCATTTCCAAATTAATGTGTGCTTTTAAAGAAATATGCACATCTATTTTCTCACAAAATGGGTATTCCTACAACTATATTATTTCAATTTATGCATTACCCAAAACATTTTATTTTGAAACACACATTTGTAAGCAAGGAATTTTGATACATGCGTTTCATGATTCAGAGAATGGTAAAATCAGGTCAATCCCCTTCACAACCCATGAAGAACATGATGGTCCCAAAGGGCTATGACCACATGTTCACCTAATCAGGGGTGCAAAACTTCCATCAGCAAAAATACAGCTCCAGGTTTTGTGTTATACATCAAGAACTATGGGCTAAAAGTGGGCAGGTCCTGCTTTCTCCTCAACCTCCCAAGTGCAAAAAAGTTTCTAACATTTGGCTCCACATTTCTGGGTAAGAGAGGTGTTTGAGGGCCACAAAAATCATGTTAATAGGCTCCGTGAGGCCCTCAAGGACATTTTTCATACCCCTGATCTTTCTGCATGAAAGAGCTTAAGGAAAAAAAGAGGGGAGTCTGAGGTTGTCCTGATGATTTTGGATTACAAAATCTCTGACCACTTGCCATGTTAGAAGCCACTATATTGAATATATTGAGGGCTACAGGTTTTCAATCCTGGCTCTGCCATCCTTGCTCTTATTTTTCTAAGCTAACTCACTCAATGTTATTGTCTTTTTCTATTTCAACAGGATCCCTTTTAAGAAAGAACTGCTCACTGGCTCCATGCTCACACGATGATAAGCTGTAATACAGTGCATTCTGATTTGACTCCGGATATTGACAATGAAGATACTGTAGTGGTGGATAGCTTCTGCCTTTTAGGATCAGTAAAGGAACCAGCAGTCAAGAAATTAGCCGCCACAATGAAGGCCTTGGAAAAGACTTTCAGAGGCCAGGACGCGTATGTACCTACAATGAACAGAACTGTGCAGGCAATGGTTTTCCTTATGATATTCTATGGAAGTGAAAGATGGACTTTGAAGAAGCAGGATCTACCATCCCAAAGGTAGACCATCCAGTAGTAGGAAAAGCCAAGGAGACTACAGATTGCTGGAGAGATGATTGAACAAGGAAAAACAGGACATTAACACAGACACTTTGGCTACCTCATAATGCCAAAAACACTTCCTTCCACTTAGGAGACTTTCACTGTTTGAAAGAACATTTGAAAACAACCTTTCACTGGGGATAAAGATTTAGTTTGGAAAGTAGGCAGAGCATTAGCACAGACACTTCAACACAAAACCAGAAAAACCTGAACTTATTTTACTATGGGTTCAAGAATGGTTTCAGCTATCTGTCATGCAACTTCTTAAAAATGCCCCAGCTGACAAATAAAGCCACTAAACTCTGCTTGTTATCTAGTATACAAGGCTTATGTACGTACATTCCAGGAGACTGAAAAAATGGAAAGCCCTCTGCGCTGCATCATGCCACGGCTCCAGTAGATGGCGATAGCATACATTGTATGTTTTCTGATCAAAATACCCTTTCTTGTTGATTGTTAAA